GCCTTTTCATTCACTTTTGTATCCTTTTTTTATAAGCTATCAGTCTTTCTTTAAAAATAACATAATAACTATAGTATCTAGTTCTATTGTTTTTGCGTCTTTCAGGTGTCATAAAAATAAATCTATATAAAAGTATTTTTAAAACATATTATTATACATATATTATGTACACGATATTAAAGCTATGGCACGTATGACCTAATTGATTTTCGTTTCCATGTTTTAAATAAATATTAATATCAGAAATTTATCTTACAGTTTCATTTATTTTAAACTAGCATTGCCCGCGACTCCGCCCGCGTTCAGATGGCCAAAAACCAAATTCTTAAGTTTTACATAATAGTAAACTCTTAAAATGCAGTTTTAGTATTTTTTCTCAGAAATGAGATATTTTCCCGCGATAAAAATTATCCTATATGTTGACCCGGATAACCAGCTACCATTATACCAAATTTCATCAAAATCTGTCCAGTGGTTTTCTCGTGATGCGGTAACAGACAGACTGACAGAGAAAAAATCTAAAAACTATAGATTCGGACTCTGTATCGATAATAATGTCTATATCAATTAGATTTTCCAAAAAATATTTAATGTACAGATTCGACTTAGTTACAATGTTACTATATGTATAGATGAGAAACATAAAAGTTTCTCATAATTCATTAGGTATTAAGTTACCCGAGCCGTGTTTGCTTGAACATGAACGTATTCCGCCGGATAGCCTGTGGTCAGCGGTGACCGCAAACCAACAACTGACTACACGACTATGTGTAATATGCATATATGACATTAATAGAGAAATACGTATTACGTATACAACTATGTGCTTACCCATAATAAATGATACAAACAGACAGAGTAGTTAATTATTTTCATTGAATATTAGACTTATGTTTTACTAGCATTGCCCGTGGCTCCGCCCGCGTTCAGATGACCAGAAACCAAATTCTTAGGTTTTACATATTAGTATACTCTTACAATGCAGTTTTTATATTTTTTCTCATAAATGACATATTTTCCCGCGATAAAAAGTATCCTATATGTTGACCCGGATAACTAGCTACCATCATACCAAATTTTATCCATATTTTTATAATGTGTTGAATGTTTTATATAATATGTGTATATACATATATTATTTTTGGTAAGGTAGTTTTTCATAAAAACTTAAAAAAATAAATAAAACCGACTTCCAGGCACTAAAATGTAAAAAATAACTAAACGGAGGTTTTCATTTAGAATAGATACCTAATCAGATATTTTCGAAGTCAGTGCCAGCCGATGTAAAGCAAATCTAATATATTTCGATACGTAAAATACATATTTACCTATTAGATATTGATACCTATCTTAAAATATTGTCGGCTGGCACCGAAATACTTGGTTTTTTTTTAAGTTTTTTTTAGTGTAGACTTAATAAGCACGTAATTTGCAAGAAGAAAGTTTTTAATAACATATTCGATTAAACAATTTCTTTAATTTTTATTTATTGTTGATTTTTTTTAAAACCGCTCGACCGATTTCGATAAAATTTATATGGGACCACCTGGGACGTACCCTTTGAAACAAAAAAAAGTCCAAATCGGTTCAGACGTCTTCGAGTAATCGGTGAACATACTTAAAAAAACAGATTCCGATGAATTGAGAACCTCCTCCTTTTTTTGGGAAGTTGGTTAAAAAAGAACTTCATAATAAGTCCACTCTACTCACATGGAGGAAATAAAATTCACATGTACTAGAAACTAAAATAGCTTCGTACTGGAATATGAACAAGACCGTATATTTTAACCTAAATGATCGTTTAACATAATGGATTCCGCTGCAATGAATGTTATCTTATCTTTTTTTCGGAAATGTTGAAGCAGGTTAGTTTTAAAGCGAAAATTCAAATGTCGCTCATTAAACGTACAATATGAAAATCTTCTCAGTACATGGAGTGCGAATACTTTTACCTATCTCTGTACATTGGCCAAATGAGAAGCTTTATTTCCGTAAAAGTACTAGTTCGTATATTACAGCTAAACTAGCATTGCCCGCGGCTCCACCAGCGTTCATATAACTAAAAAAAAAATTCTTAGGTTTTACATATTAGTAAACTCTTACATTGCAGTTTTTGTATTTTTTCTCAGAAATGAGATATTTTCCCGCGGTAAAAAGTGACCCGGATAACCAGCTATCATCATGCCAAATTTTATCAAAATCTGTCCAGTGGTTTTCTCGTGATGCGGTAACAGACAGACAGATAGATAGACAAAAACTATAGATTCGGACTCTGTATCGATAATAATGTCTATTTCAATTAGATTTTCAAAAAAATATTTAATGTACAGATTCGACTTAGTTTGAATTTTATTATATGTACAGATTATGCAATATCCTTAATAAATGGCAATTATTCTAACAATAAATATTTGCATTGAAATTTTGCCTTGGATATCCTGACCAGATATCAGTTACAAACCTTTAACTTAACTAAGGGAACTCTGTCAATATTTAATATTTCTCACGGGCACTAGGAATATGATTTAATTTTTAAAGACTTAATGTCAAATTTCTATCTCCAGTAAGGAAAATTACAGATAGTTTATTTAGATCCGCTGAAATACAACAGAATGTGTGAATTTTGTGTGACTGGAAGAAAGTAGGTATCTATTTGCATTATATACTGCCCTAATGAAGCTACTACTGTGCTTAGTTCGACCCGGGATGAGAACTAGTGTCATATAGATAACTAATAAGCTAACTAATTATTTACTGACCTTCAAAATCCATACAAATAAATTAAATTGAAATGTCTGTTTGCAATGTAAAAATAACAGTTTTTTACTAAATACATATTATGACAGTATATACGGTATTTATAAGAAAAACTCATTTTTTTTAACATTTTTATCTCTATCTGTCTGTTTGTTCCGGCTAATCTGTTTGCGAACGTGACTCCAACTAGCAACAAACCGAAACCACTGACTGATTTTGATGGGGCTTTTACTGGCAGATAGTTTATGTTATAAGGAGTAAATTATTCTACTTTTTTTTAGAAAAAGAATTAGGGTTCCGCGCAAAATAATAGAACCCATGAAATTGTAAACAAACTTCGTGTACCCAGGGACACACTCGAGCGATGCGAGGGTAGGTAAGTCGTAAAAAATAAGTAATATATAAATTAATATACCGTATTAAATTGAATCACGTTACATTAGGCAGTATTCTAAAGAATATTTTTCTAGTTGACAGACAGACATAAAAAATGCTAATCAATATCATAGAATATTTAATATATTTACTTTGTAATGTTTTTTCAATGCGGAGAGCAATCATTTGACTCTTACGATCCCTTTGGACCCAAATAACTTTTCCGTTTGCCCTATTTTCCAAATGAATAAAGGAATGAAGTCATCAAATATATCACTAATATCGGAATTTCTATTATAATATACATATATATAGAACTGCATTCAATATTTATTAATAAACAAAAATAAAATATTATTAATATTAAACTTTTCGCAAGATAGTTACGTATTTGTGAGTAAAGTAGTAGAGTTGAGATTAACGATTAAAGAACAAAGCGCACATATGGTTTGGTTTAATATATATATATATATATAAACATAATATACAATACCTTTTTTTAACCAGATGAACCATGGCAACATATTTAGAAGACATTATAAAAGTTTGTAATTCGTATAAGATGGAATTTTCATATGCTTTAATTTGAAACTCTTAATTCCACAAAAGGTAAGGAAAAGCCAACACGATACTGCTTAAAAAATTACGTATACTTTTAAATTTCCAGATGAAGTGAATAAAAGTAGGGTCAAAATTGAGATACCTATGTCATATGTTGAAAAGATTATAGACTCCAAAACCTTAAACGAAAAACGAAAATATAAGGATTCATTGGGTATTTTATTCAAAAGGACAGACAAATGGCTTCTGCTCTATATTTGCAAAGATATAACAGTGCTATAGTTTATTTATTATTCTGAAAATAATGTGTTAACTGACAGAAATCATAATTACTTCATTTGAAGTCAAAATTTTATTGATAGAAAAAACTGGTAGTTGAATGCTTTATCTGCTACTTTTAGGTACGTTTACGGTACCAAGATAAGTCGATAGTCTAGGATAAAAGTATACCTTCTATGCTTTACGTGTGGAGATATGTACTTCTCTCTATAAACATACACACTCATAAGTTTTTCATTCCTTTATTATTAGCGTGATATGCTTTGGTGTCTACTCCATCAGAGTTGAAGCAATTATTTATATATTTAAGCAGAATTAACAACAGTATCATGATTTTTTTCATCAACTCTTCCTCTAAATGTTATTGACATAATGAATGGTACTTGATTTTAATAAATGAAAAGGGTGTTTAAGGATAAAGTGATTATATCTACACAGGAGTGTAGATATAATCACTTTGTTTCTACATTAGGTGTGAAAGCACTTTCACATCAGCTTTTATAAGACACACTATTATTGCAAATTTGATTTGTATGCTGTAACGCTTCATCGAAATTGTATTAAAATAGGTAAGGTAGTAAGGAGATAGCTTATATTTTAAATTAATGCAGAGCTGAGCAGAGATGCTACTATTTCGACACTGTCGTAGAACAAAGTCGGATATGATATTACATCGAAATTGATTTTTTTACAGAATTAGCTTTAATTAATAATAAACTATTGATATATTCAAGAAAAATTTAAATATTCTTAGTACTTTCGGAAATATTCAATTGAACAAAGTATTATTTCAAAATTGTTCCCATGAAAATCGTCGCGAGTTCAATAGCGCCACTGTCGCTCGGTTGTCATCGCTCCGCGTGCGCCGCGCCCTGCGCGGCGATCGTCGCTAGTGGTGATGTTCGACGGAAAGCCGGTCATATTTAACAACAACACATGATAGATTCTACATTAGCGTATTATTACAATATTTTTAAAGATATTTAACACAAAAACAGCCTAAAATGTCTCAATTATAAAAAATATTAATGTTAGTGATAGATAATGAAGAAATAAGTGACTATTTCGCCAGGCAGGACTTCAGCATTTTAAGTAATTCAATCGAAAATACGAACAACGAAGGTAAGCCATTTTTATAAATATTTACTTTTATGGATATAAGTGCCTTTTATTATTTTTTTCATACTAAAAAACGATTGGCTAACATTTTATAGAGAATTATTCAAAATCCGTGTCATAACTTAACAACCGACGTTGTTCTACGGAGATGAAAAAAAATTAAATTTATTTAATAAAAATATATTTTGAGGATGTTTTCTTTATGTACTATATTTATATTCTTTAATTACTTATGTTATGGTATTGGATATTTTTGACGTCGTATGTTTCCTACTTTCGTTTTTCTCCCAAACTCATTTCAATTATACAGATTGTTTGAATACTTACGGCGTTGTTCTTCGGAAATCTTACACATTTTTGATGTAGCGTATTGAGAAGTAACTATGTTCTTCGGCATAAAATTATATAGGATTTTGTTCAGCATGTTTGAATGCTAATAATAGATATATAAATGACTAGATCTTTTTATTTGAGAATTTTTTGTCTTATTTAGACATATCTTTAAATATTTTACTATGTTGCAGGTTTTGGAGTTGAAAAACCAGAATCACCTTTACCCTCTGGAGCGGAAATCATAGTTAACCAATTAAAAGAAATAGCGCAGAAAGTATTTGCAGATGGCGATGAAGATCGAAATTTAGTTAAAGACTTGACATCATTTGGTATAGAAGATACCAACGCCAGTTTTGAGGCTTCTCCTCCTGTGGTCATCGAAGAATTTGAAAACCTACACCTACATCACCCTTAATCATTCTTACTCCCATGCCATTACCGACTAATAGTCACAAGACATGTAATGACTTATTTTGTGCTTTATACGATCACTGGATAGTCCAGTACCATCTTCAGTAGTACCTAGTACGTAGTAGCCCTAGTACTGTAAGTGGACTAAGTTCTTTTTCCGAATTAGATACCAACTCAGTACTGTCTCCAGGACGAAAAAAAACAAATAAAAATAGAGAATCATGGTCCGATGTAAAAAGGAAAAGCTTAACGAATTCAGGTAAAAATATGTATCAAAGAGGAGTAAAGTTCTTGATGAAAAAGGTTATGGGTATGCGTTATAAATGTAGTGAGAAAATTACTAATGAACAAAGAATAAATTGTTTTAAAAGGTTTTGGAGTCTCGGTAACAAAGAGAAACAGTGGGGATTAGTGGTTAAATTTTGTTTAGAAGTAAAGAAGCATCGATCTTTTATCACAGATCGACCTAATTTACGTAAATTTACTTACAAGTACAACTTGCCAATAGCTTTTTCTTCTGAAAGCGAAAAAAAGTGTCTATTATCACGTCAATTCTTTTATCTCATGACGTTAGGAAGAGATTGATCAAGCTATACTTAGACGGTAATCGTAGTATTGGGTGTTTGTTTCTATTATACAAAGAATGTTTTAATCCTACAAATTATGTTAAGAGGGCTTCAACCGAACGTCAATATAGAGGTATTGTTTCCAAATACTTAAATAAGATTTCATGGAAATTCTATGGAATCAGATAAAGGAAGTCCATGTCAAAAAAAAAGATCCCACTTAATTATAATATTATATATATGATCTCAATGAAAGTGGTTATAATATGTCTGGTCATTGGATCTAGAACCAAAAACTCATCATCAGCCCTACCTGATTTAAAACCTATTTCTAACAGCTTGTATAAAATATCGAAAGATAAATATAATGATCTTGTTCACATGTGCAAAACCGGTGTAATCATTTCTGAACATAGCATTTATTTCAAATCCCTTTTGATGATGAGTGATTTTTTTTTCATTATTTTGTTAATTAATAAATTAATCTATCGAAATAAAAAGAAATGTCATTAGACATTTCATTTTATTTGATAGTTTTGTCTATGAAAATACATTATTTTAAAACTAAATATTTATGTGGGATTTAAACAGATCTGGGACAATTTTGAAGAGAAGTATTTTTTGTTATTACTAGTTCTTGAAATATTTATTTTATTTTTTATTGTCAAGTGAATATTAAGTACCTGCTCAATCATATTCCTAGTATAAACATTAAGTTACATTGCATATTTATCTAATAAATTATATATGGCTAAAGACCTACTCATATCTGCTGTTGATAAAGATATTTAAAATGTTATTATTTCTGAGATCTCATATTTGTTAAAGAGTTTTAGATTTTTAGTATTTTGAAATTTTGTAATTTGACTGATTTATTTTGTTACCGATTGAGACAGATCAGAAACGAGTCGCACAATTAATATTAAGCGTTTAATTACCAAATGGCAACATTTTTTAATTAGATTTATTCCTTGCTTGTGCAATTTTCAAATTGTATTTTGGATAAAAAATAATCATTGTTTATATTTTTCATTTCTTTACTTATATAGATATACCTTGTGTTAAGCAATAAAAAGTTTTTTTAGAACCTACGTAATTTTTAATTTATCTAGAATAACATACGACATCAATATCCCTTTTGTAATTCCACAGAACAGCATGACATGTATATATACGTAGTACAACTTTCCATCGAACAACTTCGGAAAGTCACAACATACGTCCTAAGTTACGTAATATAACGTCGGATTATAATATACAAACACATTTTTTTTTATTTTATAAATAAAATGTTATTATTATTATCTAGTAATAACTCTTAATAAAAGACAAAAAGCTATTTCTATATATTTTTTCAATTAATTAAATGGGAGAAAAGTTATGGTAAAAAATGTGACTTCAAAACTTTAAACGGCTCTCCTGTAAAGTAGCTATTTTGTAGATCCGATTTTGTTCTACGAGAGTGTCGATTTATACGGCGTACCTACTTCGCTAGCGTACGTAGAGTAGCGTGATGTTATAAAAATTCCAATATTTTTTGAAAAATTTGCCATCCAGTAGCAAAATCTATACTAATATTAAAAAGAGGAAAGATTTAATTTTTTGTTTGTTTGCTTGTAACGAATAGGCTCCGAAACTACTGAACCGATTTAGATTAAACTAGGACTCACCCTCGCTTCGCTCGGGTTCGGGTAGATAGTTTGAGACCCTGGGAAGTTTATATGATAGTTATTATTAGTATTATTCCGGAAATCATCTCTTAAGGGGTTGAAAATGGGGATGAAAGTTTGTATGGTGAATCAATCTAGGGACGAACCCGAGTGAAGCGAGATTGAGTCCTTAGTGTTTAATAACATTATATTTAAAAAATATTTTTTACTAAAGATAAACCTACCTATTTATTTGCAACATACACTACATATATATAGATATATATATTTTATACTGCATTACTTAGTATTACTGTCTATACTATATACACATATATATGGACAACATAAACAGGGACGATGGACATCTAGTTAACTATATAATATGGAAGATCTTAAAACATATACAAGGTAAAGGAAAAGCATTTCTCAAATACTTGCTAATGCTTCTAGTAAATGCTATAAATTTTTCAATAAATATTCAATTTTTTTTTAACATTTTAGAATCAAATAAAATTTTCAAATATTCATCTTAATATAACATTCTGTTTATGAAATGTAACTGACAAATGAAGTGAATGAAATGGAAATAATACAAGTAAGAGTTCGCTACAAACTCGTGGGAGTATCTTGAAAACAATTTTAATTTACCGAATGCCACGTTCATCAAACATCACAGATCTCAACTTGTTACCAATAGAAATAATTTTAATAAGTTGAGCGAACTTCTGATAACGTTTGATGTGGAGTTTATTACTAAAATTATCACATCTTAGTAATATTATAGATACGAAAGTGTATTTGTTGGCGTCCGGTGATTAGCATATTTTTGATACATCAATCATTTAATACTTTCTTAGATTTACGTGAATACTTGACATTTTAAATAAAACTATCTTTTCACACAATTTATTAAATTACAACATCCATGGTCACAGGAGAGACTCAGTCTCTCCCGTGACCATGGATGCTGTAAAGCATTCGAAACGTCGGGAACCAAAAATCAAAATAAATTCGCGAAAAAATCCGAAAAGATAGTTTTATTTAAAACATCACTCATTATTATGTATAAGTGGTTAATAGGCTATAGAGTTAGGGCATGAATGAAAAGAGAGCGGACTCAACTACAAAAACTACTCCGTCTCCGGAGTAGTTTTTGTAAAATAATGTTTATATATAGTTACGACATATAAGAATTTTCAACTGTAGATTCGATATTTAGAGATTAAAGATGATTTTTCTACTTATGACCTATAACTAATATTTAAGAAATAGATACTTAAGAGATAGATACTTAAGAAATATCTAGTTTTACATTACTAAACTTACGTTTCAAATGTAGAATTAAAAGCAAAACCAATTTAGTAGGTACGTACATTTTTACTAGGATTGCAATGCGGTATTGGCAAATGAAATCTGTGCCTAATAAACTAATAAAACTGTGACGGGGTCAAGTCTAGTAGTTTGTTGATATAGTAAGTTGTGCATCAAAATTTTTAAAAAACATAAAACTTTTTTACAAAATTTTCATATTCTAGAAGCCACTTTTTTATCTATTTGAATGTGAATAAATCGCAGGATGATAATATCTTTTTTTTTTCATTGAATGACATATTTTCTAAGCCCCCTGGTCAAGTGGCGCGAATGAACATACATATAAAGATAAGTAGTAATAGTATTGATATAAAGTTATATGTGCATGCATGTAGAGAAAGGGGTTATTAGTGTATCGTTCGTTTACTAAAATATAATATATTGGTTGCTGCGCTAAAACTGGTTAATAAACGCCTTTATATGGATAGCACAAACAATAATCATTTACCATCATTTTAAAGTTCTGTATTATTGAAGAGAGGCCCGTGACCAGCTGTAGGACGTTGAAAAGAGCTGTGAGATTTTACATTGCGTATTTTCGCTTCATATTAAGTTATTAATAAATAATAAATATAAATATATTGGGACATTAACACACAGCATCATCTAGTTCCATGGTAAGCTACGAGGCTTGTACCTACTGCAGCTACCTACTAAACAATTGTTTAGTTGTTTAGTAGATAGCTGTTACTTAAAAAAACAAGTATCACAACAGAATAAAATTTCAACACTACGTAGCCAATAAAATTTAGTGTTTATTGCGAAAAGGCACGGACTTCCCAATGGAACACTTAATGGGTATGTAACATCACAGTCGACCTCAATGAATACCATCTACTTACCTATTTATGAAACCAGATCGTAATTTGGTGGTATAGACTATAAAACACGCCATCAACGAACATTTTTCGATGCAAAGTCCTCTTGTGTGTTGTAACAGCCTTCTTTCGATTTTCGAACAACCATTTTGAATTAAAATTACGTCAATATTACAGTGCAGGGAGAGCTTTCAAAGTCAACTCCAAGGGTTGTCATTAAACCGATTTGTGATGTCAAAATTTCAACTTTCGACAACTTCTGCTGCTTTTATAATAAAAAATAAGTTTTAAGAGCTTTATATATTTGCTTAGGCAGTGACATTTTATAATGTTGCAGAAAAACATATATTTTTAAGTTTATTATGACAAAATTGTATGATTTTTCAACTATTTATATTATACTGTATAGTTGAACTTGATAGGACTGCTGTAATATGCAATAACCTTTAATCTAACTAAAGATTGAGTATATAACTACAGTAAATAATTATATAAACATTTTTAAATATAACAACATTAATAACAAATTTAATATCTGAAATACTATTAGAACTTATAATATTACTCTCCGAATGATAAACTTTCTTTCTCAAT